AGTTTTAAGACGGGAAGTTGATGAACACTGGGGCTATACTGCCACCGTGTGGCAATATGGGGAACTGCATCTGAGTTTACTTGGTCTCAAAGAGTCATTTGCTTAAGGGTTGGTCCCAGGAGTCCACGTTGAGTCAGCAGGGGATGCTTGTTAAACTTGCGATCTATGGAATCTATCCTGGACTGCCTGTTCTCGTGCCCTCTGAATTTGGAGAATCACCGCTATAGTGACTTCATCTATCTGTCAGATGTGTCTGGAATACTAGCTTCATGTGATGGGGTAGTTGAGAGCATGAGCTTGGAGATAAGGCAGTCTTGGAATTTGGACTGTACTACTTATAGTGTATGTGAACTTGTTTTTTTTTGGCTGTGCTGTGTAACTTGTGTGATCTAGTTTCCTGAGCAGAGATTGAACCCAGGCCTTTGGCAGTGAAAGTGCAGTCCTGACTGCTGGAGTGCCAGGGAATTCCCTGACAGGTGACTTTGGACACATTTCTAACCTCTGAACCTTATTTTATTCATCTTTAGATATTGAGATAACTTCTCTCAAAGAATTGCTTTGAGAATATAAAGTCATTTCTGTCATATAATAAGTGCTGCCTACTTGCAGTTGTAGGCTTCCCTGGTAGCTCAGATGGTAAAGAATCTGCCTGCAATGTAGGAGACCCGGGTTCAATCCCTGGGTCAGGAGAATCCCCTAGAGGAGGGAATGGCAACCCACTCCAGTATTCTTGCCTGGAGAATCCCATGGACAGACCATGGGGTTGCAAAGAGTTGGACACAACTGAACAACTAACACACACACATGCAGTCGTACTGCATCCTGGGTTCCATGTTAGGGTTTTACAATATAAAGAAGAAAAAGATTATGATCCCTGTCCAGGAGGGGCTGACATTCTAGTGGAGGGAAACAGCCACCAACAGAAGTGTGCCTGGTGAAATTAAGAGGGACATCCGTGTCTTGGGGGAGGCAAAGAGGCGTAAGGAGGAAGTAGGCATTTGGAGAAAGGAGTGGTGTGTGTATGTGAGTGTGTGCATGTGTGTGTGGTGGGGTTCACACAGAGGGACCAGCGTGAGCTACACAGTGACTGTGGAGGCCTGCCTGAGGTTGAGGCTGCCTGTGGAATGGGAGGTTTAAGGTGAGGGGGACCTACCAGGAGGACCTGGGTGTCTTGCTGAAGGGTTTTGGACTGACAGCTCTCAAGAGTCAAGGAATTTAGGCAGAGGATAATGTGACTGGTTGTTGTTCAGTTGCTAAGTCATGTCCTACTCTGTGACCCCATGGATTGCAGCACACCAGGCTTCCCTGTCCTTCACTATCTCCCGGAATGTGCTCAAAGTCATGTCCATTGAGTCAGTGATGCCATCCAACCATCTCATCCTCTGTCGTCCCCTTCTCCTCCTGCCCTCAATCTTCCCCAGCATCAGGGTCTTCTCCAGTGAGCCTGCTCTTTGCCTCAGGTGGCCAAAGTATTGAAGCTTCAGCTTCAGCATCAGTCTTTTTAGTGAACACTCAGGGTTGATTTCCTTTAGGATTGATTGGTTTGATCTCCTTGCAGTCCAAGGGACTCTCAAGGGACTCCAACACCACAGTTCAGAAGCATCAGTTCTTTGGTGCTCAGCTTTCTTTATGGTCCAACTCTCACATCCACACATGACTACTGGAAAAACCATAGCTTTGACTAGGTGGACCTTTGTCAACAAAGGGATGTCTCTCCTTTTTAATATCCTGTGTAGGTTTGTCTTTGTCAAGATCTCTGTGTTAGAAAGTGAACTCCGAGTGTGGTGTTCAGCATGCAGGACCCGAGTGGGGAGGGAAGGTCCCAGCAGGAAGAAACTGCAATGACCCAGGTGGGAAGACAGCATGGTCTGAAGCGGGCAGGGGAGGTGATGAGAACAGTCAGACTGGAGAGCTGTCAACAAGGTGGCTTATTCCTGGCATCTGGAACTTACCAGGTGTCAGTGGTTAATGAGAGTCAGGCCAAGGCAGCTGGGTGGATGGTGATTCCATTCTCTAAGAGCAGAGACGAGGAGGAGAAGAAAGGAGATGAAGAGCGAACAGTTCAGGAAGGGGGGATGATGAGTCCAAATTTTGTTCGTGGTTTTGAACTTTGTGCTTCTAAGGTATAAAATCAGATGGGCAAAGTACATGAGCTTATGGTACGAGTTCAGTTTTGGACACTTCGAACTTGAGTTGTCTGGGGGACTTTGGGTGGAGAAAATATCCTTGACCCTCCCATCACTCTCATCCTAATAGCTGGTTCAGGAGCAAGTGCCATCGGCCTGTCCGTCCCCTTCTCTGCCTCTCCTCTGTCGCTAGTACAGCAGGAGAGACGATGGCTGGTGGAGGGGATGGGTAGAGAGAGAAAAGGAAGGGAACCGTCCCTTGGAAACAGAGGAGGAGTGATGTCAAGGGTGTGAGAGAATGTGAGAGCGGTTTAGTGGCTGACTCCATGGGGGGTGGGAAGGGGAGGTAGGACGTACTCAAAGGTGGGTCTTGGTTTTCTCTGGTAGCAAGATGGCAGTGTGAGCTGGAGCGTGGAGGTGTGTAGTAGATGAGGAGAGGTGGGGGACTCCCCAGGCGGGCTTTGGAGCTTGGTGACCCCTTGGTGGGGTCAGCCCACACAACACTGGGACTTTCTCCAGCAGGGCTCAGTGGGGCTGTGGGGGGGTGACAAGGGGAGGCTTCCCAAGGCCGAGGGGCCGCAGCACAGGCGACTCCAGGTGAGCAGATGTTAACGGGGGAGCCCCATGGGCTCCAGGCTCCTGGGGGAAGGAAGCCGAGCCAGGGGAGGGTTGATGAATCGAGAAACAGAATGAGGGAGGCCAAAGGCTCTCATTCTCCACGGAGTAAAACGTTGACACTGCAGCCCTCTCACCTCGTTTCTCTCACTGAAAGAGCTAGCTGGGCTTGGAATGGGGAAGTAGCATCTTCAGATTTTCTGTGTGGAACCCCTGAGAGAACCCAGGCTCAGAGAGTGGCTGCAGTGGATGGAGGACCTTGGAGTTGAGTACATTTCTAATAGAGTGTGGAACAGAGTGTGGCTTCTTTCATGGCACAGAAACCGCCTGCAATGCAAGAGATCCAGGTTTGATCCTTGGGTCGGGGAAGATCCCCTGAAGAAGGGAATGGCAACCCACTCCAGTAGTCTTGCCTGGAGAATTTCATGGACAGAGGAGCCTGGCGGGCCACAGTCCATGGGGTCTCAAAGAGTTGGACACGATGGAGGGACTACCGCTTTCACTTTCGCTAACAGAGTGTGGTCTCTGATCAGCCCCCACACCTAAGGGTGAATGTGGGATGGAGCAGACCCCAGGCCCCTGCCAGGTCCAGATCACAAGGCCCCCAGATGAATGAGTGGTCAGCAAGGCGCTGTGGGTCTTAGAGATGAACTGTGCAAGGAGGAGCAGGCTGAAGGGCAGAGCAGCCTGGAGCCAGATCTCCTGATGACGTGGAGAGGTGAACAGGGTGTTGGTTGGACAACCCACTCCAGTATTCTTGCCTGGAGAATTTCATGGACAGAGGAGCCTGGCGGGCTACAGTCCATGGGGTCGCAAAGAGTTGGACACGATGGAGGGACTACCACTTTCACTTTCGCTAACAGAGTGTGGTCTCTGATCAGCCCCCACACCTAAGGGTGAATGTGGGACGGAGCAGACCCCAGTCCCCTGCCGGGTCCAGATCACAAGGCCCCCAGATGAATGAGTGGTCAACAAGGCGCTGTGGGTCTTCGAGATGAACTGTGCAAGGAGGAGCAGGCTGAAGGGCAGAGCAGCCTGGAGCCAGATCTCCTGATGACGTGGAGAGGTGAACAGGGTGTTGGTTGGTGAGGGTTGTAGGGGCAGGGGGCATGGTGGAGTGGGTCCGGGGTTGGGACAAGCCTTGAAGGGGGAACAAAGGGGGAACAAAGTGAGAATCCTAGCTCACTGCCCCCCACCCCAAGGGAGCATGTGGGTGAGCAGCTGCCAATGGAGGGGCCAGGAGACAGGCCCCGCGCTGGTGGTGCACTGTGGCCGGACTTGGACCAGCATGGCCTTCCCGCACGCTGCTCGTTCTGCCCCCACCCCCGCTCATCAGCACCCCTGTAGAGGAAAGTGGGACCTCCCAGCACCGCTGTCCCACCGTCCAGCTCTCCCGTCACTGCTGGGTGCTGGCTGAACGGCTGCACGCTTGCAAAGTTGTGCACGGGCTTGAGCAGTCTCAGGGGAGAGAGCTTCATCTGTGCTTCAGGAGCCCGTGTGCCCGGCGACAGGCCAGCCGCTCGCCAGCCAGGGACACCACCAATGACTCTGCCTGCCACGTGACCGGACGGGGCAGGGTACCAGGTCTGGGCTGGGCTAAGTGGAGATGCCCGCAGCTTCATTCCCCCGCTGTGCCCACAGACGGAGACCCTTGTTGGGGACAGTCAGGGGAGTACACGAAGGGCGGTGCCTACTCTGGACTCACAGATGAAGGGGGGACATGGAGATGGGGAGAAGAGCCTGAGAGGAGAAGGGGACAGAGGAAGGGAGGGCCAGAAGTAGGAACTGTGCACTTTACGTTGATGGAGGGTTAGCCATTTCATAACATTCCTCTTCACCGGGTGGAAATGGCAGCGGGGAGCTGGGCAGAACCCGGAGGTAGGATTCACCTCGACCAGAGGTTCCCAGGAGTTAAGGTCTTGCGAGGAACATTCTAGCAATGACTTCCTTAAAGTCCTACCTGAGAGTCAATTAAGATCACTTTTCTTTAGGGACTTCCCTGGCAGTCCAGTGGTTAAAAATCTATCTTTCGATGCAGGGGTCTGGGGTTTGATCTCTGGTCCGGAAACTAAGATCCCATGTGGCAGAGGGACACCACTAGAGAAACCTTGAGAAAGCCTTCGCGCCGTAACAAACACCCAGCGAAGCCAATAAATAAATAATAAGATGACTTTCTTTAGCAGCAGGAGAGAAGCTTAAATGGTAATGATGGTAATAGTCCTAGTGATAATAGCAGCTGACTCTGCAGGACCACTGGCATTTTTTTTTTTCCACAAACAGGTTTTGTTTGCTGGTTAATTTTTCATCCTTTTCACCAGTAAAGATTATGAGCACTTATTTAAAAACAGGAAAGTCAAAACAAAAAAAGAGGAGAGAATAACACTATGGTATGTATGTATGTCAAACTATAAAGAACTACAGTAATATGTGCTGTGATTATTGCTGTCTAAAAACAAACAAACAAACCGGTAGGCAACTCGGAATCTGAAGGAATCTTGTCTGACAACTGTCTATCCTTGTGGGCTACTGTGTGATGGTGGTGATGGTGGTGGTGGACGGTCCGGGACTCAGGCTGGTGGCCGGGGACCAGAGAGGTGGGGTAAATGGGTGCAGAGTGGCTGACCCACCTCCCCTTTCCTCCATCCAGAAAAAGTTAAAGAGAGGAGGCCAGAGTCTGTAGAAATAGCTAAACTACATACTCCATTAGGGAACCAAGAAAGGATGCTTAAAAAAAGACACCAAAAAACCTATGAGAAAAAAAAAAGTAGAGAAAAGTGCAAAATAAGTCTTGCACTTTAGTGGTTTTAAAAAAAACAAAGACAGTACAACGCCCAGTACAACCACCTCTCAAAATACAGCTTCCTCAATCTTGGAAGCCAACTGTGTCTTCTCCAAGACCGGGGCATTGCTTCTCCTTGGCCCACTCCTCTCTGCAATTCTCATCTGAGCTGGAGCCCTGCGGGGCAGAGCGGATGCAGGTGGGGTACTGCCCCACATAGAGAGGGGGGCTTGGTGGCCGCATGAGGGGAGAGCGGTGGTCCAGGCCCGCTCCCCCTGGGGAGGCTGGCCCCACTGGGTTACCATGGAGACCACAGAGGTGGTGATGGGAAAATGGGTGAGGGGACAGGAGGTGGGCCCACGCAGGGCCTCCTGTCGTCCCCCGAGTTGGGGCTGAATGTCTCCAGGCCTGTCTCTCCAGGCCTGGCTGTCTGAGAAACTTCCAAGTCTCTTCTGTCCCAGGCCGCCGGCTTTCCCCGGGTTGAGGTGGGGCAGGGGCTCAGTCCTGGCTCGGACCCCCTCAGTCACCTGGCAGTTGTGGTGGAGACAGGTCTCCTCTGCTAGAGTGAGGCCTGAGTCAAAGGGAGATGGGACGAGACCTCCTGTTGGCGCTGCGGGCCAATGTTTAGATTTGAGGCCACGGAAAACCTGGAGCCTGAGGCCTCTGAGTGAGCAGACGGTGGCCAACAGGCAGCCTGGGGTCAAGAAGGTCCCTGCTTGGAACTTCACATCTGGCAGCTCGCCATACCTGCCTGCTCACCACCCTGCCCAGGGAGGCCTCACTTTCCTCAATGATTCCCTCCCCTGGACCCCCACCCTGGGCTCTGCCTGAAGGCCCAGCATCCTCTAGGGAGTGGCCAGCGGACCAGAGTCTCCCCGCCCCCTCTGCAAGCACTAGAGAGAGACTCACAGATTTGGGGTTGTCAGCGTCAGCCCCGGAGATCTGAAGACAGGGGTGGCGTTAAAGCAGGCCCTAACCCCCCACCTTGTGGCTGACTGCAAAGAGCCCATGGAAGGAGCCGAGGCCCCTTCAAAGTCCAGTAAACAGCAGGAGGAAAAGACGGCCCCCTTTCAGGAACCAGGAACCGGATCCAGGCCTTGGCGGGAGGTGGTGGGGTGGGGTCTGCAAATTCCTGGCTCAGTCTTTTCTTAGGGGGAATGGCACCCCAGTATCCACGTGGCAATCCCAGTTCAGACAACTGCTCAAGATCCAGAGAAAGAATGGGCGGAGAGAAGGGTGAAGTGGGAAAGGCTGACGATACTGGCCTAAGACGTTGAAGTGTGGGTTGGGGGTTTGGGGACAGTGGCACAGGGAGGGGCCACATGGACACATAGTAGGTCAAGGAAGTCCTCACAGCTGCCATCCCCATCAGGCCCTTTGTCCAATGAAGATCGATGCCTCTCCCATCCCAGCCAACCGTCCACTCTGAGGGAGCCGGGGACACTCCCCTAGCGAATCCCAGAGCTGCAGGCTTGCCACCAGCTAAAGTATTTCTGCTCCTTAGCTGCCCCTCTGCACTGTCCCCGAGTTCGATGCTGGAGTAGTCTCCACAGTGTCATGTCGTCGGGGAAGAGGGGTGTGAGCTGCATTCACAGCGAGAGAGCTCTCCTTTGCTGTGTCCAAGCCCCGTCTCCTGGCCAGAGTTCTCCATCCTCAGAGCTGCCCGTTTGTTGCGGGGGCGGGGGGAGTCAGCGGAGGGTGGGAGCTTTCTTGGTTCAGAATCTTGGCTGCCCCAAAGCATCCGTTCACTGCTTGTCCTGCGCCTTTCTGCCATCTCCCACCCCAGGAAAGAAGCTGGAATGGGCCAGGGTGGACCAAGGGCTTGAAAGCCTCTCTAGCCTCCGTCCCTTGCTGCAGGGTGAAGGCGGGCAGGTGAGCTCGTAGACTTTTCCCTTCCAAACCACAGTCGGTCTCTGCTTATCCTTGTTCTTGTCCAGCTCCTACGATCTAGAACCCACTGAAAGTTCCTCAACTTCTCTGGCTCACAGGGCTGGGTTAAACTCATTTCTCTCTTACAACCTGTTTCCTTTTCTTCTCCTTAAATCTCTCTCCTTCTTCTTAAATCCCAGAGGGCTAATCAGATGGGGACCCAGGGAAGAGTCTCCTGGCTTTGTCCCCTCTTCTTTTTGCTTTGCTCCAAAGCTAGGACGGGGCCGTCAGCCCTCTGTCTCTCCAGCTCTCTGCCCTTCACTCCATCTACGCTGGCCTGAGCAATCACTTTTATGGTTTCCCCGTATTTACACTTTTCACCTCCATTTCCCTCTTTTGCCATCTCTCATGTCCGTCTCTCTCCTGCTCTGCCAGTATGAAGGCTGAGGGAGGCTTTCCAAATGCAGGCTTTGTCAAGATGAAATGAAAATGCTGGGCAGGACCAGGGGGTTGAACTTGGACCAATTGAGTTCTCTGGGTGTAGGGTCCAGAGACAGTAACTTCCCAAGGGTCTAAAGGTGAATGTGACATCCTGGGGAGCTTGGTGGGTACACTATTGGCTGTGCTCACCGACCTGGCTTGGTGGTACATGAACACACGTGTACATGGGAAATCATGAAAAAAAAAATCAACACCGTGTCCCACAGAGGGCTGAGTTTGCTGCTGCTCATGGGAGGCAGGCAAAACTGGTTTTATGGGTTGTGTTAGAAGAATATGGGTTTTCTTGGTTTCCCCAGAATAAGGATGCTCTTCAATGCCCCCAGAGGAACTACTTGGAAAAGTTAATGCAAACCTTGACAGAAAGGAAGGAAGAAAGGGGTAAAAAAAAAGAAAGAAAATAGACTTATATGCCTATATATGACTATATGGAGCCTTGTAGATAAATACAAGCCCACTTTTTTTTCAGCCTATCCTCCCCCACGAAGGCTGTGTTAGCTGTGAATTGGATGCAATGAAGGACTGAAACCACAGGCTTCACTTGGTGCTGAGTTTTAGCCACCCTGGAAGCACATGTCTTCCCACTATCGGGGTGTGGATTGATTTCTCAGAGTCTGCATGGGGAGTGAAATATGCACACACACTTCATATTCATGGATCTGCTTTAGGAACACCTACCATCGAGTATCACTCAGTTATGAATCTGCCTTGTGTTGAGAAGGATGGAATGCATTTTCATCTTTGTAAATTGGAGGGAGAGAGAACACAGTGCCGGGGTGGGAGGAGAGGAAGGACAGGGTTTGAGCTGTGCGAGCTGCTGGCTGCAGGAGGAGATTGATCCAGGAGAGGCACTGACCCCTGTTGTCTTTTTCTTTCTCCCCCCGCGACCCATCCAAACTGGGCAAATTCCAGGTGTGGCATCAAAGGCCACACTGAGGGCGGCCGCTGCTCCGGCCCTGATGGCTGCCCAGCTCGGGCCAGGGCTGGACGTAAAGCTGGATGCTTCTGGCCCATGCTCTGCTTCTCCTCGTGACTACGCATCCTCCTCTCTCTTACCCACGTCTGCTTTCCTCCCTTCTCTTTCTCTTGTTCTTCCTCTCTTGCCCTCCTTGTTCATTCAACTTGCCTCAAAAAGAAAACCTTTTTTTAAAAGAGGGGGGTGGTCTCCTTAGCTTTTCACATCTCTGTTGTTGCCGTTTTCAAAGTTGCGACCTTGCCAGAGATTCCGAGGTCCTCAGTTTCCTCAAATAGATAGATATATGTATTTTTTTTTTCCCTTACATGAGATGAAATGAGTGGCGTCCTGGGGTGGAGGGAGGCGCTGGCTGGAGTCGGGGCTGGGGGTGGGATGGGGTGAGGGAAAGACGGGGAGGGGACGCATCACTCAACATTGCTGCTGTCGAAAGTGTGGCACTGAAAGTCCCCGTCCACGTACTCCATGCCTGGCAGCTTCATCCCGTACTTGTCCACGCACCAGCAGATGCCACGCTTGCGGCCACGGGAAGGTTTGCACTGGGGTGGGGAGAGGGACAGGCAGTGAGCATGGCTGTCCCCTGAGGCTCTGCTCCTTCCTAACCCTCTGCCTTCCCTGCCCCAAGACAGACTCTCATCTCCAAAGAGTTGAGGGGACTGTACCACCAACTCAATGGACATGACCTTGAGTTCACCCTTGAGATGGTGTTGGGAGTTCACCATCTCCCAACAGACTCTGGGAGATGGTGAAGGACAAGGAGCCTGGCGTGCTGCAGTCCATGGGGTCCCAAAGAGTTGGACATGACTTAGCAACTGAACAACATCAACACCCAACCCTTGGGGTTCTGGTGTCCACATTTTATGGGACAACCCAGGGAAGGTGCTCATTTAGGCAGTCTGTGCTTGGCTAGCTCTTTCAACTTTGTCTTATGTCACCCAAAGCAAGTTGGTTTTTATCTCCAACTTGGTATTCTCCAGAGAGCGACATAACCTGATGATGATGATGATGATGATGATGATAAGGATGTACATTAAATTATTAAATAACGTGGTGGTGGTTGAGTCACTAAGTTGTGTCCGACTCTTGCTCCTCTGTCTATGGGATTCTCCAGGCAAGAACACTGGCATGGGATGCCATTTCCTTCTCTAGGAGATCTTCCTGACCTAGGAATCGAACCCAGGTCTCCTGCATTACAGGCAGATTCTTTACCGACGTATCTGGTTTCCCTTGGAGTTCAGCTGGTAAAGAATCTGCCTGCAATGAGGGAGACCTGGGTTCGATCCCTGGGTTGGGAAGATCCCTTGGAGAAGGAAAAGACTACCTGCTCCAGTATTCTGGCCTAGAGAATTCCACGGACTGTATAGTCCCTGGGGTTGCAAAGAGTCAGACACGACTGAGGGATTTTCACTTTCACTTTCATTACTGACTGAGTTATGAGGGAAGCCCATTAAATAATAGTAATACTAGTAAAAGGCATCACTTTTATAGCTGTACCATATACAAGACACCACTTAACACTTAACTATACTGTTGATACTGTTCTAAGGGCTTTACAAAGATGAGCTCATTACTCCTCATAATCATGTGAGAACAATAGGGACAATTATTCTCCACTTTACATGAGAAACTAGCGCTGGAGACATTAACCGACCAGGGTGAGAGGACACAGCTAGTAAGCAGGACCCCCAAGGACTCCCCCTAAGTTGTCTGGCTCTTGAGCCCTAACTTAGATGTTATGGTTGTTTAGTCACTACGTCGTGTCTGACTCTTTGTGACCCCATGGACTGTAGCCCATAAGGCTGCACTGTCCATGGGATTTCCCAGGCAAGAATCTGGAGTGGGATACCATTTCTTTCTTTAGGGGAACTTCCTGACCCAGGGATCGAACCCGTGTTCGGGTGCAGTGGCAGGCGGATTCTTTACCCCTACGCCACCATCTAAGGGAACTTAGATGAGGGGTGCCTTTATGGAGCATCTGCGTCACCCGGGAGGGAACTTGTTGGAAACGCAAGTTCTCACAGTCCATCCCAGACCCACCGATCAGAAGCTCTGGGGTGGGACCCAGCAATCTGTGTGATGTCGATGCCCTCACATGTACTCCTTAAGAAGCTTAGATGACCGGTTAACAAAGGGTAGACTGGCTGTGAATGGGTCATGAAATGATTTCAGGAGGTACATGGTAAAAATATATTTTAGAGTCATATGTGTGTGCATCCTAGGTCACTTTAGTCATATCTGACTCTTTGTGACCCCATGGACTGTAGCCTGTCAGGCTCCTCTGTCCATGGGATTCTTCAGGCAAGAATACTTTATTGGGTTGCCATACTCTCCTCCAGGGGATCTTCCTGACTTGGGGATCCAACCCATGTTTCTTGCATCTTTGGCATTGGCAGGTGGGTTCTTTACTAGCACCACCTGGGAAACCCCATATATTTATGCATGTGTACCAGAAAACAACACAGACAACATGGGATGTGACACAGTGATAGAAAGTTTCCTTTTAGATGAACTCATGTACCTATGGTGAATCATTAAAACATGAGTAGATTACAGTGTAGGCGGGAACGGGGTCAGTCGTGATTGTGGTTGGAGCAAGGATACTGGTGTTTTGGGACACAGTGTTGTTAATGACAGAAATCCAAGCATTTAGAGGTGGAGATTTGGTGGCGTTAGTGGTAAAGGAGTGGGATGCTATTTTTTTCTTTAGGGGATCGTCCTGACCCAGGGATTGAATCTGTGTTTCCTTCAGTGGCAGGTGGATTCTTTACCCCTACATGGCCAGGGAACTTAGATGAGAAGACCTAAGAGACTCAGGTTCCATCGTGGAGGAGGGCATGGCAACCCACTCCAGTATTCTTGCCTGGAGAATCCCATGGACTGAGGACCCTGGCAGGCATGGGGTCCACAGGGTTGCATAGAGTGGGACACGGCTGAAGCGACTTAGCGTGCATGCCCTGAACGTGGGATATGGGATGGGGCATGCCTGCTTTCCTTCTTTCTTTTTTTTAAGTTTTACTGGAGTCGAGTTGGTCTACAATGCTGTGTTAGTTTCAGGGGTACAGTCTCTTCAGCAAGTGGAGCTGGCGACACTGGATGTACCTGCTTTCTCTTGTAGAGAAAGAGCTTCACGTACCTGCTTTCTCTTGTAGAGAAAGAGCTTCACGTACCTGCTTTCTCTTGTAGAACCCTTTGCGGTCACAGTTGGGCAGGTACACGGCGCGGGGCACCATCCGTGGGCTGGCCTTGAGCTCCTGCAGGGACGCCTCCATGTGCCTTCGGCAGGGACCCTGTGTGCGGATCGGAGGCGTGAGAGGCGTGGCCAGGCCCCGGGGAGTCACCTAGACGTGCGGAATGCAGTGGCCGAGGTGTGTGGGTCAAGGGTCTGCACGGAAACTCACCACCTTTGGTCGAGATTAGGTGCTACCCAAGGTCTTCCTCTGCCTCCCGTGCCATGACCCCTGGGTGTTTAAAGTGCTACCACGCATGCTCATTTAGATAGCGGGGGCGGGGGGCTGGGGGGTGGGCAGGTTAAAAGCTGCGGGTGGCAGAGACCGAGGGTGCGGATATAGAGGGAGATGGAGAGAGGGTCCTTGAGCCTCACCTGCTCAGATTCCTGTCTCATCTCGGGCGCCGAGATGACCCGGGGATGGGCGGTGTTCTCAGCTCCCCCCACGAACTTGGACTGCGTCAGCTTCTTTCTGCGGTCCTTCTTCACAGCCTCGGCCTTCAGCTCGGAGATGCGGGTGTGCTTGGGCCGGAAGATCTTGGGCGAGTAGGTCTCCTCCGCCATCTCGGAGGTGGTGGGCTCCTCGTGTTCACGGGAGTCTCTCTCTGCGGGGAAAAGCGGGTGGAGGATTAGCTTCTGTCGGCTGAGAGTCAACCATGCGGAGCCCAGAGCTCCAAGCTTTGGAGCGAGGAGACGGGCTCTCTGCACCCCCATGGGGCTGCCCAAACTGGGGAAAGGGGAATGAGCATCAGGACAGAAGCCAACACGCCTGTGAGTGGTGGGAAGTCCAGAGGAGCAAACCTAGGGTGACTTCGTGGAGTAGGAGAGTGCTGGAAAAGTCAAGCTGATACAAGGAGGGAAGTGACGTAGGGGGAGGAGGACAGTCTGGGGGCAGGGAAGGCACTTGTTTGCTGGGAAGTGGAAATGGACGTGGTAGTCGCTCAGTCCCGTCCGACTCTTTGTGACCCCAGGGATTGTAGCCTGCCGGGTTCCTCTGTTCATGGAATTCTCTAGACAAGACTACAGGAATGCGTAGCCATTCCCTTCTCCAGGGGATCTTTCCAACCTAGGATTGAACCCAAGTGTCTTGCATTGCGGATAGATTCTGAGCCACCAGGGAAGGCCCTGTATGGTGGTGGTGGTGGGGGGCGGGGATCTGGCTAAATAGATGGGGAAGTGGCTAGAGGTGGGGCCGAGGTGTAAGAACACCATCTGGAGGTCAAGGCTGTCGGAGGAAAGGGATTGCCAGGGCGTGGACAAGAGGCCAAGTCCATCCTCTAGTGAGATCTTCCCACTTTTGGAACCGTTGGAGTTGAGATACATTTGCATTTGGGGAACCGAGGGCAGGAGGGCCCTGGGGTGTCTGGACTAGCAGGGTGGGGGGGAATCATAAGAGGAACAGGAGGAAGGGACCCGGGAAAGCCAGAAATGTGGGATCCGGAGGGGATCAGTGCAGGCGGGTGGAGGTGGGGGACATGGGGGCCTGAGGCCTTGCTCCCTGCTCAGAGCTGGCTCTGTGCTCTGTGCCCTGGGACATAACAGCTCCCGGCCAAGAGCGGCAGACAGCTGGCTGGGGCTGGAGTGGTTATATATAGCAGTGACTTGGTGACAGTCTATACTTAGCTGACTTATGACCTTTAAAGAACTAGGACTTTGTTCATTTATTTGTTGATCTTTTAATTCCAACCCCCACCCCCCAGCCTTTGGCCTTTTCTTGGTCCACAGATTTCCATGAAATTCTCCTCTCACAGGCACCCTCCCCTGGGCCCCTCCTCTCAGCTTCTGACCCCACCGGACCCGGATTGCTCTTCCCAGGTGGGCAGGGCATGGCCAGGATGCCCAGGGCCAGAGCAGGTGCAGGGCAGGATGGCCGGGGGCAGGGAGCCCTGTCTTTCCTGCTCTCTTTTCTTTTTCAGTTCTGGAAAAAGAAAATAGGGCTTTGGGGTGGCCCTGGAAAGTGGAAGTGTTAGTTACTCTTTGTGACCCCATGGACTGTAGCCCGCCAGGCGCCTCTGTCCATGAGATTCTCCAGGCAAGGATACTGGAGTGGGCAGCCATTCTCTTCTCCAGGGGATCTTCCTGACCCAGGGAGGGAACCCCATTCTCCTGCATTGTAGGCAGGTTCTTTACCATTTGAGCCACCAGGGCTGAAGGGAAATCCTCCTCTCACTGGGCTCCCCAGGAGGCGAGAAGAGGTGTGGAGAGGGAGCAGTTTGGTGAGAGGACAGTTGCATATCCCCAGGGCAGGAGTTCTCAGCCCAGGGGAAGTTCCAGGTGTGTGTTGAGGGAGGCATTTGGAGACCCGGCCTCACCTGGTCAGGATGGCAGGTGGCAGAAAGCACCTGAGCACCCGTTTGTCTTTTGGCTCAGAGTTTGTCAGATTTAATCGAATGGGTGTCCAGCGTTTAAGCCCCTTTAGGGAAGCTCCCCTAAAGAAGCCTCCAGAGGTGTGCAGTGTTCTGGGTGGTTAGCTGATCTGGGTATTTATCCACAGGAGAGGAAGGGAAGTAGTTTCTGGAGTAGAAGGTGGGAGGAGGCACATGGCAAGAGAGTGGGCAGGCTCTCCCCGAAGAGAATCCAGCACCAGGGTCTCTGACCCCTTCTGGCCTTTCACTCCCTCCTCCCACCACGTCTCCTGCCCCAGGCTCTGCCTCTAGTTTATCAAAACCCGCTGGGATGATGAACCGACACGGCAATGCACTGAGTCCATGGAGTGGAGCCTTCTGGGGATTAGCTGACCATAAACCAGCTTTGCGGCATAAACCAGCTTTTCTTGGTTGTGGGATGAGCCGCGATGGGGGTAGGAGGCAGGGCGGAACAAGCTGATTTGGGGGACTCTGTACAAAGTGAAAGATTAGGGCTCTGTTATCTAGTAACTCAGGCCCAAACCTGAGGCTCAGATCTGGAAGAAGTTGGTTGAGGAGAGGAAAAGCTGACCATGGCCTGGTCCCGTCTTACTGAGTGACCTGACCTGTCACTCATCCTCCCTGGACGTCACCAAGCATTCTGATTGTCACCTGAGTGGTGCGGCAGGGGAGATGGCAAGAGGTGGTTGCCACAGAAAGGTTGGGAGCATTGTGGGGGTGCACGGCCACCCCCTTCCCCAGTCAAGCTTGTAACCAGATGAAGGGAGGGGAAGTAGGGCCAGACAGCCAGGTGCTGACCAGTGAGTGGAAGAAGGGTGAGCTCTCATCTGGAGCCACAAGTACATGCGTCCATCCCAGTGGTGCTCGTTCTAGTTCTTAAAGACATCTGGGCTGAAGGTGCCACTCACTGTCCTCTGGCCACCTCTTGTGTCCCTTTGGTCAGAGGGCGTCATCCTCCAGATGCCGTTGCACTTTCTCTTACGGAGCTTCTGGCTCTGGCTTTGGTGGTCGTGCAAGTACATTGGCTCATGCCCCGCACTCCCCATCATGCCATCGGGAGCTCTTCTCAAGACTCTTTATATTTTAGGATCTTTGAGAAGTGCTGTGGGCTGCCCTTAACCTGGAGTCACCTTTCCTGGGAGGAGCATGGGCTGTTCACAATGGTTCAAGAAACTTTGGGGCAATTTACTTAGACCTCTCTGGGTCTTTCCTGTGAAGGTGTTAGCCTTGAGACTAAGCAAGGACAATACTGGGGAACAAAATTCTTGTACCTTCTTTGGCAGACTCTTGTACCTTCTCTGTGTTAGTCGCTCAGTCACGTCTGACTCTTTTTGATCCCATGGACTGTGGCTCACCAGGCTCCTCTGTCCATGGGGATTCTCCAGGCAAGGATACAGGAGTGGGTTGCCATTCTCCAAGGAACTCCAGACACTTTTGCAAACCCTCTGTCCTTCCCCTGGCTTCACTAAGGCAGGATTCCCTCCCAGTTTGCAGTCTCTTTGGCTGCTTCTGAAGGGCAGGCTTAAAGTTTTGATGTGCCTCCCAGGTTGTGCCGCCACTTAACCCCATGGGACCTATTACTTAGGCAGCGGGAGAGTCAAGTATCAGATACTAATCAGGGTCTTGTAGGTTCCAGAGAGACAGCGGAAAGTTGGATCGGAGCCAGGGCAGGAACCTGGAATATCAAAGGGCTGGAAAGTAAGACTGGAGCTGGGATGCCAGAGCCAGCTAGTCCTACTCAGCTGCTCTGAGGCCGAGTCATAAATAGGCTTGAAATTTCGGTAGGGTTTAAATTTTAGATAACTCAAGAAGGCACAGGCAGACTGGCAGCTCCCGAGCTGTTTCATCAAAAGAAAATGGGTCAGGGTTGCAAAAGGATTTAGGACTTCCTAGCGAAGTTGCGCTGCAAGTGAATAGCAATCTCTTAGGTACTTAACAATGCAGTAGGTTCTGGAACTGTCACCTGGCAGGTCAGTACCTGCATATGGCCAGTAGGTGGCGGAGGAGACTGATGGCTGCAGAACAGGCTACCTTGTAGGAATTGTAAGCAGTTCTAAAATCTGGAACTTTTTGTGGTCTCCTTTTACTTCTCTGACCACCACCCCAGTCTTCCCCTCTCAGCATGCATTTAGAGTCAGGAAGATGGACATGCATAGACTGGGAAGGACCTACGCGAGGCCAGGATGGCGGGGAGGGGACAAGGCCCTCAGTGTGTAAACCCCGGCTGTTTCTTTAGTCAACAATGCAAGCATAATGATTAGGGAAAGAAGGGAAGCAGATCAAGGACCTCCCTTCCTATCTCTAGCTGTCCTTTTGAAAGGATTCTGCAGAGAGCGTTCACTGTTGTCCCCTTCTTTGGGAAGCTGTGGAAGCAGGACCCTTTAATTCAGTGTCTTAAGAAAGCAAGGGCTCTCGCAGTGTCCTGATAGTTATCTTTAGGCTGAGTTCCGATTCTCTGCTCTGTTCCGCCCCTAGTCCTGCCAGCTGGCTCTCTGATGGTCCCAGCCCTGCCATGTTAGGGCAGCCAACTCAGTTTCTGCTTCATTCCTAAGATGCTGCCCACTCATACTGATACAGCATCCACTGAGGCACCACCCTTGGCAACACGAAAAACTGCTTGAGGACTGTGTCATCCTCATGTCAGTGAATTTTTTTTTTTTGCTGTGCGGCTTGTGGAATCTTGGTTCTCCAACCAGGGACTGAACCCAGGCCCTGGCAGTAAAAATGCTGAGTCCTAACCACTGGGCCACCGGAGAATTTCCCCAGTGAATGTTGAGGGTGTGTGGGTGCAGGCCTGGCCGCTGCGGACTCAGACGCATCCCCAGTTGGGGCGGGGGGCACTTCTCACAGCACAAGCGCCAATGCATCTTCCTTCCCCAAGCTCACCACGGAGACCTGCTCCTATGGTTGAAACTACAATCGAACGCTCTACCCTGGGGTTCTTGGTCCTACCCTGGCACCATCAACAGCCTGGGCCCAGACTGGTGGCCGTTTCCCACGCTATCTTGACTTAATAGTCAAAACTAGAGAAAAACGGGTGGATCAGATATTGCAACTTTGCTTACGGAAATTGAAGAAGCTGAGGCGTACTTGGAACTCGCAGTGCAGGAAGGATGTAGGGCTTTGCCAGGCCACCTGGACCTGGGAGAGGAAGAGTCTCTTTTTCTTGCCAGTAGGCAACAGGGATTCGCCCAGAATTTCTCTGCCAGGAATGAAAAGGGGAGCTGGGTTTCCACCGA